CTGTCAGYGTTGTTGTACATTTGTTGCACACATAAAATTACCAATTGTATATATAATGTACGTATTAGTGTATTACCCACGTTAAATTAATATAAGATAATAAAATAATATAAACAATAATAAAAAAAAATCATTTTATTATTTTTTATTATGTATAAAYATATTATTATGTCGACGATGATTTGCTTAAACGCGAAGGTTTAGTCATTTTTTGTATATGTATAGAAAAAATCTGAATAATTTAAATGAATCAATACAAATAGAACAACAATATAACCCCCAGCAAATGGTTATTTTATACGTAATTATCGTTTGTTCCATGTGTTCCAAATGTATGGAAAAATAAAGCATAAAATGCTTAAAAGTAAAATTGTATTGTTAGGGTATTCGTGTACCTATGGATTATATTAATATATTAATATTATACAGTAACGAATCGTTAATGAWCGATGTTAATTGTGAGATTTGTTGGTTTGTTTAAATGCTGTTCTCAAATAGTGAATGAAAAAAATGAAATGAATAATATTATAATATTCATAAAGATAATGCATTTTTATAGTTATTGTTAATAATATAAAATATTATTTTGATTGGAAATAATTTTGGAAATAATAAATACCTAATATAATACTTACCAAATGGAGTCTTATGAATGAAAATTACTGAAGTGTAAACTTAAACAGTTTTATGATTAAAAAACAGGTCCCAAAAAATAAATATTTGTATGTTTTACCACTTGATTAACTAAATGTTTTCAGTCACAAAAACATTTTGATCACTTGACATATTTATATTTTATTTCTTTTCTCATCGATCATAGACAAGAAAATTAATTTGAGGACTTAAACTACTTTATTCACGAGGTTTAAAACGACAACATATATATATATATATATATATATGTTATGTAAATGTGTGGAATTATTTTGAAACCAAAAAAACTAAGGAAAAAAAGCATTTCAGGTTAGTTTGATGAAATTTATATTATATTTTTAATAATATTATGACTATAAGTATTGTGTACATTTATTTTCATGATCTGATGACTAATATAAAATGATTACGTTATTTTTTTATCTTTCTTTAACAACTGGACGTGCTTAGACGTTTTTCTTATTATATGCACTATCCATCAGTTTTGCTTGCACATAACATAAAATGTTCAACATAATCGTAGACACAATAGTCTTCGCACATCATGTCGGCTTTCCGACAACTTCTCCCACTGTCCCACTAACAGAACATGATTGATGTGGATTTATTAGGAATGTTTATATCTTTTTGTGMAGAAAACAATTTTGTTGAATCTTGAAAATCGAAAACTTTTAAAAAGTTTTTTGGCAAAACCGTTTTAAATTCATCGTTTATATGTATAAACCCTATGTTCCAGACTGTTTAAGAAAAAATAAAGATGATATTTAACATAAGTTACAACTTGTWCTATAATTGGAATGAACCTACAGAAACGACGACTGGAAATTTTGATTAATTCGATGAGTTTTGACTCATACTTTTAATAAAAACGATATAGGTATGAAAAGATGACCAGAATACCGAGTTTCATCTATTATGACAGGTAGTGACTAGTGGGTAGTAAATACAATTTATGATTCAACTAAACAAAATTACGAAAATACTCATAACTGAKATTTATTTCTCTTGTATCAATTATTAATACGACTTACGAGTATTGTAATAATATAATAATTAGAGCTATAGATTTGCAGAAAATTAATGATTTTAGTTTACTGTGAAACATAGCTTCTTTAATACAAAGTTTGAATTTAGTACTAAWTAATGAATTTAATTTTGAGACCTTTTTGTTATTTCATCAAACTATTAGATACTTACACAATTATARGGCCATTTCACATCAAGAAAAAATAAAGTTGTTTTTTGATTTTCTGATTCTAACTTCTTCAAAAATTGAAATATGACAATGTTTACTTTTTTAATATAACATTTTTTGAATTTGGGGGATTGATATTAGAAGTATGGAAAGTTGATATCGAATAAACTTAACAATATATTCAAATTTCTTTTCAGTATTATTATCACTTCATTAAATAGTTTGGTAATTACCTACGTT